ATAAGAGGGATGTAGGGCTTTCATACTCTCCAAGGGGTGAGGCACTGTGCCCCCAGGTAGAGGCTCAGGACCAAATGCAAGGATCCTGTATCCTGGCTCCAACAATAAGAGCCCTACTGATTGTTGCTCTATGGCTGCAGGCAAGTGACTTAGCCACTCTGAGCATCAGTTCTTCTCATGTATATGACAGGGGCAGCGATTCCTTCCAGGATAGTGATTTCCTCCAGGCCAAGAGTCATGAGTAATATTCTCCTGACTGTAAGCCCCCAGGAAGCATGGGCCTCACCTATCAATCACCACCACATCCCACCGCACATGACAGCATCTATGTCCTCAATGAGCATTTGGAATGAACAAATGAATGAGAATGCGTGAATGAATCTACCTCACAAAGATATTGTGGTGATCAGAGAAAAAGCAAGTAGAGTGTCTGGCATATTGCAGGAGGCTTAATGAACTGTAGTGGCTATTATTACTAACGAGCCTGGCCTATAGGATATGTTCAATAAATAAATGACATCATTAGCAAAACACCTTAAAGGAGAAGAAGTATCAAAAAGATAAAATCAAAACACTAAATGAACAGGACCCCAGAAGTTTACGTGGTATGGGGATAGTAAGGTGGCCCCATGATTTTCTCACCCATGTCTTAATACCCCCGATGCTACCTTTCTCTGATGGTGTTAAGGACTTGTGACTTGCTTTTAATTAATAGGCTATAACAGGGTGATGAGATGTTTCCATGATTATGATACTTAGGATTGTGACTCCCACCCAGCAAGGAGACTCTCTCTCTTGCTGGCTTTGATGAAGTGGATATGTTGGTCCATGTGGCAAGGCTGGCTTTCACCCAACAGTGAAGAAGAAACTGAGGCCCTCTATCCAATTTAATCCTGCCAATAACCATAACAGCCTGGAAATGGATCCTTCCCCAGTCTAACCCTCAGATGAGACTGGAGCTCCAGTGGACATCAGTGCCACAGTCTGGTGAGAAACTGAAGCTGGGAGCCCACAGCAACCAGGAGATAATATGTGGGCGTGTTTTATGGTGCACAGTTTATGGGACTCGGTTACACAGCAATAGAAAATGAACACATGTAGTAATATAGGCAAGACATCCATTGCCACAGCATGGCATAAACACCTAGACAATGACCGGTTGCTGAGTGATGCAGAGCATGGTAGGAACTGGGAGAACTGAAGACGCCATTCTACCTAAAGGGCAGACGTTATTGGGCAGAGCTGATTGTTGCCATGTGGGGATATGAGACCAGTATTGCCCAACCTTTTCACAAGACAGTACATAAATCTGAGTTTTATGTGAAACCTTCATTTTTAAATGCTGGCCACTAATTTGGAATTTTTAGAACAGCAGTGAGATCTCATGCAGACAAAGAAAACATGTATTAGGGGCTTGATTCAGACATAAAGCATAATCTGGGGTTTTCCCAGCAGGTCACCCCTGCTCCAAATTTGAGCCCACTGATTCCAAGCTGGTGCCCTTAGGACTTCAATCCAAGGGCCATCTTGAGGGTTAGAAAGTACACATAAAGTCCTTAACATGTTGTCCGCCACAGGGGAAAGGCATGATACAGTGCCATTGTTATTGATCATATTATTGTATTCATTTCCTGTGGCTGTTGTAACAAATTACCAGGATGTGGTGGCTTTAAACAAAAGCAATTAACTCTCTTACATTCTGGAGGCCAGAAGTCTAAAATCAAGTTTCACTGGTTCCTTTTGGAGGCTCCAGGGGAGAATCGGTCCCTTGGCTTTTCCACCTTCTCTAGGCCATGACCTTCTTGAGGTCGCCTACATCCTTCAGCACACATCTCCTTTTTCCACTTTCAAAGGCTTCAGCATAGAATCTTCCACTGTCTCTCTTTCTGTCCCTCGGCTTCCAACATCACATTGCCTCTGACTCCCATTTCTTCCTTATAAGGACCTGTGATTAGCTTGGGCCCACCTAGAGAAGAATCCAGAATACTCTCATCTCAAGAGCCTTAGCTTGATCATGTTGGCAAATCCCTTTTGCCAAATAAGAAACATTCACAGGCTCCAGGGAGTAGAATGTGGACATCTTTGGGGAGCCATTATTTAGCTGACCACAATAGTAATACTTGCTATTATCATCCAACTCACAAGTCTCCTCTTTATGACCTCTGGGACACAAGGCCATCAGTCTGATCAAAACCAATTCACTCCAGGCTGCAATGTCCAAGTCCAACTGGCATTCCCACAGTTCTGGGTTCTGTCTGGGGATAAGTCAGCTGGCAGTGGGTCAGGCTCCCTAATAATGAGGCTAAGCCTAGATGTTAGCTTCACTATCTTTCTCCATGTATGATCTTAGCTACCTCAGGGAAGCAAGCCAACAGTGATATAAAGGCAATTCCTAGTAAAGAATACAGCCAGCTCTGTGTGGATCCATTTCCAATGACCAGAAAACTCAAAATTGTAGACCCTGGGGGGTGGCCGGTCATGTTGTCATCATTTGGTTCATGTTAGCACCATATCTCTTTTCTCCCCTAATCAGAAATTGATTCAAGTACATTGTTTTTAAGCCTTTTGCAATCCTGTTTAACTCCCTTGGAATTCAGATCCCATTTTGACACTCATTTCCATCTAAAACAGAATGCTGTTGCTTTAAAAATCACATTCATTTTATAAAACCCCTTCAGCATACAGCGAATTAAGAACCAATGTGATTTTCCAGTTAAATTTGCAAGGGGATAATCTGAAGGCATTACTCATAATCCTGATTAATTTTAGCGGAAGTAATGAGACTATTGTAAATAGAGCAACATGTGTGTGTGCAGAGCTTGCCTTCCAAACACACAACAATTTATGCTAATTGATGGCTTCACGAACAAGGTAATCTTGGAAAAACCTGCTAAGATGTTTGAAGGCATCTAATGGGTAGCTATACAACTTTAATGCAATCACATTTTGCCCTGTAAATTCAAAGTGACTTGAATTCTACTGTACAACTGACTAGCTAATGTCATCCATCCACCCACCATCCAATTCAGCCAGCCAGTCAGCTATCCACCCATCTATTCATTTATCTATCTCTATTGTGATATCCAGCATAACGATATAAAGTCTGCATTAACCCAAAAAGAACATTTTTAAATGATGAGGGGGAAAATATTTCATGATATGTGAAAATTACATGAAGTTTGAATTAAAGTGTTTTGGAAACACACTGCACCCATTTGATGATGTTTTACCTATGGTTGCTTTACCTAAGGAGTTGATATAGAGACTACCTTAGTCCACAAAACCTACAACATTTACTTCACAAAAAGCTTTGCTGATTCCTGCTCTGAAGTCTTGAAGCAATGCATGCACACGTCATTTGGGAATAACTCAGGACCGCTCTGCGACAGATCATATTCCTGACATGCTTTCCCTTCCTCTTTAAATCCAAACAGCCTACATGTTTACATCAGCAATGTGCAAACTACCTTAGTGCTGGCATGCCCACACTGGGCTTTCAGTTTTGCAGATTTCCTTCCAGATGGGCAGCCCTGCATGTGTTTGCAGCCACAATGCATGATTTGCATTAACTCATCTGCATTCAATTAGTTTCATGTTATTTTTCTCAAAGAAAAAACTCAAGAATCATAGTTCTCAGTAAGGGTGACAGTTCTTAATATAAAGCAACGAACAGGGTAGGTGTCCCGAGAGAGTGTCTGTGGATGCTCATGTGTGTTTGTGTTTGTGGAGTCTCTATCCTGGAAGACTATGAAGGTTTAGCAACCAGCGATGGCAACTGCATGGTTATGGGCAAAAAGCAGTCTATGGACAAGTCTTCTTTGGCCCACAAATTGGACAGTTTTGTTGTTGGCTTTAATTAGAATGAATTTCCAACAGTTACAGATTGAGAGGTAATATGTACAGACTCAAATCCTTGGCTTCTCTGAAAAAAATAAAAATAAAAATAAAAATAAAATAAATCAAGAGATCTCCTCCATGGCACCTGAAGTCTCATGTCAACAGTTGTCTGCTCATCGGCTTTTGAGATTTCATTCCAATTTCTTCTCAGCCCGCTTCACTCACTTATATTTTTTCCCTGACCCCTGTTGACATTGGAAATTACAACATCTGATACAGCTATCAACATGTATCTATTGGCCGAAACCAGTTTGGCTCAGTGAATAGAGCATCGGCCTGTGGACTAAGAGGTCCCAGGTTCGATTCCGGACAAGGGCATGTAGCTTGGTTGTGGGCACATCCCCAGTGGGAGTTGTGCAGGAGGCAGATGATCGATGTTCCTCTCTCATTGATGTTTCTAACTCTCTATCCCTCTCTCTTCCTCTCTGTAAAAAAATAAATAAATAATTAAATATATATATTTTAAAAACATGTATCTATTGGAAGATAACCTACATAGTTGTGTCCATAGGTGTCCATACACCCCAAATTGCCTCTAATGTATATAATCCCTGCAATTATGTCCCAATAATCATGTCCCACCCAAATCCATACATTGAAATCTTAACCCCAAAATGGATGGTATTAGAAGGCGGGGCCCTTGGGACGTGATTAAGTCCTGAGGGCAGAGCATCCTACACTCCAAAGGATGTCTCATCCCTTCTATGTGTAAGACAGAGAGAAAAGACAGCCAGTTATGAGCCAGGGAGTGGCTCATCACAGACAGTGAGTCTGAGAACAACTTGCCCTGGAGCTCTCCAACCTCCTAGGGAGAAACAAATGTCTGTAGTTTATAAGCCATCTAGTCAATGGTATTGGTTGTAGGAGCCCAAACTGATAAGGTATACACATATAATAACTGTGGCACAAAATAGATAAGGAGGAACTGCCTTAGCCATGGGCCACTCCGAGCGGTCCCAGGGTGCAGTGAATCCGAGGAATATCTGGGTGAGGACGGGAGTATACCCCTGCTCTCATCGCTGGCTGGAGTTTCCAGCACAGGGATCCCAGGTCCCAGCTGACGGCAGTGCCCACCGGGACGTAAGGAAGAAAGCCCTACATACCATGGAGTTTTTCACACTCTGCAGCAGGCGCTCGTGCTGCTCGGCGATGGCCAGCGCGGCAGAGTGCACCTTCTGGTAGATGGCCTCCCCATCTCGTGTCTGGAAGATAAACAGCCCCTCGCCAGTCTCACACATCCTGTGGGAACAAGAACAGAGCTGCTGAGAGCCCCGCCCAGGAGCCAGGCTCCAGAGCCTGGGACGCGCCAGGATACCAGACCCATGGATGTTGCGTGAGGCGAGGGGTCCCAGGCCCATCTGCTAAACAGTGTGAGCGAGAACCCACATTTCCAGAGAGCTGCTGTTACTATGGGCAGGGAACCATCTCTCTTGGCTAACATGGTGATTTTTTTTCCTCAAGAAACAAGCAGAGCGTTAATAAAATAAAAAAAGGCCATTTCTTGATTTTTAGCATAATCCTTGTACTCTGCTTTCCTGCTGTCAAAGCGGAGACCTACGGGACTGCTTTCCCCTTCAGTCCAGGAATCAGACCAGCTAGCGACCCCACTGTTCAGCTCAGAGGTGAACTGAGGGTTCCATGACTCCCAGGCTGGGTTCTCACTTCCCTACAGACCATGCCTTAAAGAATGGCTTCATTTCCAAAGTCAGAGATCCAATCTGACTCCAGCTTCCACTGCAGCTGAGAGTTTTGTTGGGGATCATGATGGTGCTGCATTAACATGGCCAACAGAAGATCAGGTCCTTCAGGGAGGCTCTGTGGTCTGATGGTTAGTGCTAATGACTCTGAGGAAGATCATCTCTGCCTCAGACTGTTAAACCAGAAATGAAGTCCATTCACATGGGGAGACTGGTACACAAAAAGCTAATAAATGTGATTTAATTGCTAAGTATACTTTAATTGTGTGTGTGTGTATGTATATACATATTATACATGATGGGTAGAATTACCAATATATTTAATTAAATATTTTTAAAGGACGTGGGCGAAAATATATGCAAGGATATTTTTAAAGTTTTGATTTTGATCTATACATCTCTCGACAGTAAACTAAGACATTGCTTTTGTATGTTTATTTTAAAGACCCTAATTATTCAAAGACACAATGCCACTCCCTCCATCTCAGAATCTCCTGCTGAAAAACTGAATCCTGGCTTAAGGGCTGAGTTTTGCTCACATCTGAATAACTGCTTAACACAACATTGAAATCAAGCACATTTCCACCCAAACTGCTGTTAATTGCTTTATCTAGCCCAGTCTATGCAATTAATGTAATAAAAATAGAAAGATTACTTTCTATCTAATTTCCCACACTTGGCCCGACACCATGGCCATATGGCAGTTTTCAGCACATATAGCTTGGTGTACGTAATCCATCAAAGCCTGCCTCACTTGGATTTCACTGATATGGGCTAGGTGAGGAGAAAGGAGAGAATGAACGGGTGGCTCTTTCAGGAAGCTAATATAAAGAACTACCTCAGGGGGTTGACTGTGTGATTGTAATTATTAAGTCATGCCAATCCAATGAGGAATTAAAACTAAGAGTGGATGCATTTCAGTCACGTCCCAGCTTTTCCTGAAAGACTTCCTCACCGCCAGGCGCTCACTGCCCTTCCCTCCTCATTGATGCCATCATACAAACGTGACACCCAATTGTGCAGGCCTTCATTTTTCACAGCTCCTTTCCCCATCAACTATGGAACTATAATTCCCGAATAAGAGAAAGTAGCCTCAGTCAACTCTTTAAGAGGAAGAAGTGGCCTTTGGCTTCCTCCACCACCAATGCTATTGTTAACTTACTTGTATTATGCCAATCCTGGTTCTAAAAAGAATGAAGATACCTGTTACCTAGAAACAGTGGTAATTTGTTGCTTAATATCAAACTCTGTTTCCCAAACTTGACAATCCAGTTGCTCTTAAAGTTCTTGTGACTGTAACCACAGTAATAAGTGCAGTTCAGATTGGGAGTCAGCATATCTACCTCGCTATTTATGTATCTTCAATTATTACATGCTGATGTTTTTGGCTCTATTTTATTTGAACACTGCTGGTGAAATGCGCCATTTATATTATGACCTATTCATTGGCAAGACTTCTGCTTTGGCAATCCCTCTTTCATCCAATGTCTGCTTTTGCTCAGCATAATGAGTCTACAACCTTCCTTTAAGGACATCTGCATCTCTAAATAATTATTGTAATCGAAAACAAGTGAAATCACAACCACTGGAGCATCAAGTGTTCTTTAAAGTACAGCAAGAACAGACTGCCTGCCTCCACCCAAGGATCTGGAAGACACACACCTCACAAACACACACACACACACACACACACACACACACACACACACACCAGACACACAATGCCCACACCACCTACCATGTACAGAAAGGACCACAATCTCAAATCCAATCAGGTTTACGCCAGGTGAACAGATGCAGAGTTCAGATGCAAGTCAATGTAGAGCAGGCCCAGTGGCTCCCGGACAGCAGCCCCAAGCAGCCCTAGTCACATGGGGACATCAGAGCCCAATGGGGCCACAGCTTCTGATTATTGGGAAGCCAGAACACCTGATTTCTATGAGAAATAACCTGAATGTTTACTGTTGGCAATTTATTCCTTTTATTTAAGCTGTGGGTGGGGGTATTACCCTGTTAACCTGATCTGCCAGGAGGCCAGCCATTTACTCTGAAGAGCTCTCCACAGGACATCAGCAAGGCCTGGGTTTGAGCTGTCGGACTTTCGTCCACCCTGTTCACAGGCATGTGTCCGTGGGACAGGGAGACCCAGAAGGGTGATATGAACCAAATTGTCCTTCAGATGTTCTTCTGCCCACCTCTCCTAACCTCAGCTCACAAGTTCTTTTATGTCTCTCCTTCCCTCCAGGTAGAACTGTGTGCTGTTTCATAAGCAGCTTTAAATCCATTAAAATTGTTACTGCACGCCTTTGTCAAAAACAATACAATGGGCACACTCCCCAAAGCAAATAAGAGGAAAATAGGGGGAAAAAGAAAAAAAGAAAGGGAAAAAAGGAGAAAGAATACGCTCAAGCAGGCTAAAGGCCTTACATGGTCTTAGTCTGTAGCTCATCTCGGAGAAACAGCCCAGAACGAAGATGCCCTAATGGCTCCAGCCAGACAGCACTGCAAATACACTTCACTCTCCATGGTCCGGCTCCTTTCTCTTACCCTATGACACCAGCCCAGCAGTGCTCTTCCCTGTGGCCTTACACTAACAGGAAGCAGGGATGGAACCCAGAGACGGTGAAATAATGAGTCTCCTGTGACCTTTCTGAAGATGGGATTCAGATAGGACAACACAGCCATGTCAATGCACTTCGAGTTTTGAATTTCTCAGATAATTACTTTGCCTGAATGATATGCCTGTCACTCCAAACCATGGGTTGTGCAACTGGCCAAGAAGAAAAACAAGAGCTCCGAATAACAGTGAGAAGTTCGTTCATCCGTGCCCGGAAGTACCACGGCAACGTGCATGAAGGGCGGGCCTGGGGCTCCGGGTTGCCTTGCTGGGATGGCCCTTGCCTGCTCTGTGACCTGGTGCACATTATCTAACCCCCCTCAGCCTGCCTTTCTTTTGGAAAGTAAATATAATGACCGTCACTGTCACCCAGTTTTACTGAAAGCACCGGCCATGGCATGTAGGGTGCACAGAGCACATTTTCAACTAGATGCACTCCCATCACTGGCCTGAAGTGTGAGGGCCGTGCAGACAGCTCTGTTCTAACATTCTTGCTCTCCCACCAGTGCCTACATTGGGTGTGCCTCAATATCTGGTGCTTCGTGAAGAACCGTATAATGAATGCATTGTGAAGGAGCAGGCAGTGCTAGAGAAAGCATAACTGGGGACTTGACCCAGCCTCCTTGGGCAAGGCTTCTGAAACAGATTCACTGAGATGCTGCAGGAGGGGATGGTTTGGAAGAGTAAACTGGGAGAACAGTCCCAGCAGGAATTACTGTGCACTGAATGCCTTGAGAGGGCGAGGCTCAGTGATTTCACATGGTGGGGAGGAGATGGGGAGTGAGGCCAGGTGCCTGGCCACAGTGAACTAAGCGTGAGTGTTGGGAGGCCATGGTCTTCACTGTTCCGAAGACATCACCTGAATGCAGTAGTCCCCAAGGGCACTGAAGGCCCAACTGGAGAAACTCCTCTTTGCCAGTGATATTTCACACCATTATCTGTTACTTTTTTTTAATATGATTTTTAAATTTACTTTAGAAGGGGAAAGAGATAGAAACATCAATGATGAGAGAGAAACATCAATCAGCTGCCTCTTGCACACACACCCTGCCCCCCACCCCACTGGGAATTAAGCCTGCAACCCGGGCATGTGCCCTGACTGACTGAGAATCAGACAGTCAACACTCAATCCACTGAACAACACTGGCTGGGCTCAACATCCTTTATTAGAAAAATACAAATGTTTTGAAATTATATAAACCAAAACAAGTGATCTCATGCCAGGCAGTGTTAATAAGAAAACTCCTGAAATCAGTAAGCCAATCAGTTCCTTGTTTCCTTACTTTATATATATGGATTCATGTGCATAGGTGTGTATGTTTGTTGAATATGTAGCTGTGTGTCTAGGATATTTGGACACTGCTAAAAGCAGGCTTAATTATACTCAACATGTATGTGACAATACTCTGCTCTCCACCCCTGCAAAAGCAGTTTACTAACTCAACATTGAATTTTATATTTGTAATTACATATTATAATTGAAGGAATCAGTACTTGTCAAGTGAACGTACGGCAAATCATAATAGTGACTGTACAAACAAAGGTAAAGACAAAGCTTTAACAGGTGAAGGGGTGAGAAGCACAGACTGCCAGTTACCAACAGTCACAGGATGCAGAGCATAGCACAGGTATAGTCAACAACATCATACTGACCATGCATGATGGCAGAGGGTACTGGACTTACTGGGGGGATCACTGTATAAATCATGTGATTGTCTAACCACTCTGCTATACACCTGAAGCTAATACAAAATAATATCAAATGTCAACTGTCATTGAAAAGTAAAATTAATAAAGGCAATGTGGCTTTTTCTTTATGGTGGTTAAAATTTACTTCGATAGACAAGCTCTACATATGTGAATGGCTCAAGAATAACATGTGGCATGAGCCATGGGGGTCAAAGAGGGGATAAGAGGGGAAAGGC